TCCTGCCTCAACCACCCACAGTGCTAGAATTACAGGCGTGAGCCTCCACACCGGCCTCATGTTTTCTTAATGTATTTTATCTGATTTTGAAATAGAAGATTATCATTTTTTTCTTTTCCCTGTGCATGTTTTTCTGACATGTGTTCTTTATAGAGGTATTATTCTGCTCCATGTATGTTTAATTATAATAGTTTTGTGTGGGATTTGATATCTGCACTTTCTTGCTCATTTTTATGTGAAATTAGTTTTTCTGAATTTTCAGAAAGTTGTGTAGTTCAGGGTATCTTTTTGAACAAATTTTGTTTTTATGTAGTTTTTAAAATATTAGTGATGTTTTTTGAGTTTTGTCTTGTGTTTCTACCACGTGTTTATTTGGGATTTCTCTTTCTTTTCTCTCTTCTGTGCCTGCCCTCCTCACATTTGATTCCACTCCCAGTACTTCCCCCTGAGTATGGAAACTTGTTCTAGAAGGGGGCCATAGTTGGTCAGTTTCAAGAGTTCATAGGAGCAGACTGTTCCTGTCATTTCAACTCTAGCCATAGACCCGTTATGCTATTGGATTGGACAGCAGCTCCCCAACTCCCCTCCCCCTTATTTAATTTGCTATTCTCAAAGTGGTCCGCTGTGGTTTCCAGTGACTACCTACGTGTTAGGTATTTGGGGCTTCTGTTCTCAGGTGTGCCACCTCACTTGTTGCTTAGTTCTGTTTTCCTTTGCACTGGTGTATACGGACATTTAGTTATTGTGCTTGTTGGTTTGTCTTCATCTGCTTGCGTTTTTGAGTTTATGGGGGATACCTTGTCTTCTGGTTTTGTTATAAATGTTGCTTATGGGTTTTTCTTGCCTCTTCAGTTCTCTGTATTTACATGGAGATTCATATATTTAAGAACACCACCTTCCCACGATTTTCCCCTTAATTACCTATCTTAGAGACAACTTCGAAAAATACAAATTTTGCACTGAGGTGGAAGGATAGCTTGAGGCTAGGAGTTTGAGACCAGCCTGGTTAACATAGCGAGACCCTATCTCTACAAAAAATAAAAACATTAACAGGGCATGTTGGTATGTGTCTGTATTCCTAGCTGCTTCAGAGGCTGAGGCAGGAAGAATGCTTGAGCCTAGGAGTTTGAGGCTGTAGTGAGCCATGATTGTGCTACTACACTTCAGCATGGGCGACAGAAAGATACCCTGCCTCCTTGAAAAGAAAAAAAAAAAGAAAAATGCAGATTTTAGAGAAGACATTGTAGGATTATTGTATTTAGTGAAACAACTTATATAGTATTGTAGAAACTGTCTTTCCTAGTTCCTTTTCTTCTTCTAAAAAATCCTACCCAAGCCTGTAATCCCAGCACTATGGGAGGCCGAGATGGGCGGATCACGAGGTCAGGAGATCGAGACCATCCTGGCGAACACCGTGAAACCCGGTCTCTACTAAAAAATACAAAAAACTAGCCGGGCGAGGTGGCGGGCGCCTGTAGTCCCAGCTACTCGGGAGGCTGAGGCAGGAGAATGGCGTAAACCTGGGAGGCGGAGCTTGCAGTGAGCTGAGATCCGGCCACTGCACTCCAGCCTGGGCTACAGAGCGAGACTCCGTCTGAAAAAAAAAAAAAAAAAAAAATCCTACCATGTTCAAAGTATACCCAAATTTTACAGTTGAATGTTCACAAAAGACTAGGATTGGGTGACAAATTGTCTTTCAGAATTGGATCATCATGCTGGGCACCATGGCTCATGCCTGTAATCCCAACAGTTTGGGAGGCTGAGGCAGGAGGATTGCTTGGCGCTGGGAGTTCAAGACCAGTCTGGACAACATAGCAAGACCCTGTCTCTACTGGGGGTAGCGGGGGGGAAAGGATTGGATCATCAGGCATTTCAATGAATTATTCTGAAGAGTAGGATTTTACTGTCAGTGACTGCAGAATTTTAGTCTTGACCTTAATAAGCTTCCTCTTCCATTTTAGACATGTAACCTGAAGTATTTGAATGTGTTCTCAAGTGACCGCATTATAGTCTGTTCTGCAACAATATGTGGTGCCCCTACAATACTATTTAGCCTACTCACTATTGGTAAAGAGGGGTGTAGTATCAATAACATGGTGCGGAGGTATTGGTTTGTAGATGATTTCCCTCTAAACCAGACAACAAACTGAATAATTAGAGTTGAACTTGATATTCTCTTCATCAGGAAAGTAAAAAGCCTCCAGTTCAGCTGCTACATAGGCACAAGTCCTTTCACCTGTTTTTTTATTTTTATTTTTATTTTTTGAGATGGAGTTTTGCTCTTGTTGCCCAGACTGAAGTGCAGTAGCATTATCTCGGTTCACCACAAACTCCACCTCCCGGGTTCAAGTGATTCTCCTGCCTCAGCCTCCCAAGTGGCTGGGATTACAGGCATGCGCCACCATGCCTGGCTCATTTTGTATTTTTAGTAGAGACAGGATTTCTCTATGTTGGTCAGGTTGGTCTCGAACTCCCAACCTCAGGTGATCCGCCCGCCTCGGCCTCCCAAAGTGCTGGGATTACAGGCTTCAACCACAGCGCCTGGCCTATTTTTATTTTTAATTAAAAGTGATAATCTGCAGCAGACATTCCCTCTCCAGAGAGGTGCACCCTGGTCTAGCAGGGACTCTTCACATGTGGCCGTTTGCATTTCCTTTTGTGCCCAACTTAACAGCAGCCCTCTAGCTTAAACTTCACTTCTCCCATAAGCCCCGGTTTCTACTTCATTGTTTCTGGTACCCTTTATTATCCCCTGAAGTAGCATTCCAGCCCTCTTAGCTGCCTTACTTGGGTAGGGATGTCCAAGTTTTCTCTCGTGGTCCCAATCGTTGTTTTAGAGACAGAGTCTCTCTCTGTTGCCCAGGCTGGCGTGCAGTGGTGCAATCATAGCTCCCTGCAGCCTTGAACTCCTGGGCTCCCACCTAAGTCTCCCAAGTAGCTGAGATTACAGGCGTGTGTCACCAAGCCCAGCTCCAATCATTGTTTTTGTTAGTGCTATGGTTACAAAGTTCCAGGGGCATAAACTAATCTGCCCCAACATACCTCTCTCCCCTTCTGGACCCATTTTTTCCATAAGCTTTGTTTCTTTTATTGTTGCAGAATGCAAGGTTTTCGGGAATGTATGTATGTATTTTATAGCAGCTGTACTAGGAAATTTCACGGGGAGACTAGGACTTAATGTAGTTGAAACTTTGCTGTATTATTTCTGTTCTTGGAAGACTTTATAAAGAGAGCTCCTGTATTTTTTGATAGTGAAGATTCCATGTTTGTGATAGGAGGCTTCCCGATCCTCATTTTAAAATATAGGAGAACAGTACATGGTCAGAATTTGAAGGATTTTATTGTGGATCACTGAGGCAGTACTGTATGCTATTGTAATTTTCACCATTTACAATGCGAAGTTTTGTTTCAGAAATAATACAGCAATGTTCAACTTTTAGAAAATGTTTATTAGTGTATTTTATTAGTTGCTGTAGGGTAAAAACATTAAATACAAAAAAGTAGAGATAAGAATGTTGATTATATTTACCAATTATATATAATATATACATTTGAAGATCTAATCCTTACCAAAAGATTTCAGGTAGTCTCATTAAAACAGCAAGGAATTATGTAGGGCAGTATTATAGTAATATTAGAAAGTCACTCATGTGGCCAGGTGCTGTGACTCATGCCTGTAATCCCAGCACTTTGGGAGGCTGAGGCAGGCGAATCACGAGGTCAGGAGTTCGAGGCCAGCCTGACCAATATGGTGAAGCCCTGTCTCTACTAAAAATACAAAAATTAGCTGGGTGTGGTGGTGCACACCTGTAATCCCAGCTACTCAGGAGGCTGAGGCAGAAGAATGGCTTGAACCCGGGAGGGAGACGGAGGTTGCAGTGAGGCGAGATCGTGCCACTACACTCCAGCCTGGGCGACAGAGTCAGACTCTGTCTCAAAAAAAAAAAAAGAAAAAAAAAATCACTCATGTATATGACTATGACTCTAGAAAAAATTTACAAATGAGGCCGGGCACGGTAGCTCACGCCTGTAATCCTAACACTTAGGGAGGCTGAGGCGGGTGGATCACCTGAGGTTAAGAGTTCAAGACCAGACTTGCCAACATGGTGAAACCTCGTCTCTACTAAAAATACAAAAATTAGCTGGGCATGGTGGCAGGCGCCTGTAATCCCAGCTACTTGGGAGGCTGAGGCAGGAGAATCACCTGAACTCAGGAGGTTGAGGTTGCAGTGAGCCAAGATCATGCCACTGCACTCCAGCCTGGGCAACAGAGGAAAAACTCTGTCTCAAAAAAAAAAAAACAAAAAACAAAATTTTCAAATTAGAAAACATATATATATATAAAAAAATAGAGAAACATAAATCATCCTAATGGCTGAAAGTGTGCTATTTTAGTCCATTAATACTGCAAGAATAGTATAAACTGGTCATGTGGACTTGCCCCATATAAGGCAGCAAATAGCTTTGTTAAGGGATAGACTCTATGCTATTTATTCTGACAATTAAATAATTGAGGTAGGCAGTGGGGGTGTGGCAGTGCCAGGCCCCACCTTTATCCCCACCCCCTATTTTTGGCAATATGTGACTTGCCAGCACATTCAGTGGGGCTATCTCTCCTACCCTGAGTCGCTTAAGGAAATGATCTGTATTCTTTAGGACAGTTCTAAAAATGAGGGGAAGCATTTGAAGATTCAGAGCACACTGAATACTTCAATATTTTGATAGCATGGAAAACTTAATGGACCTTGGGGAAGGGATCTGAATTGTGGGGATGCTGTAATTATATTGGTATATTGTAATTGCATTCATACTTTTACAACCCTGTCAAAATTTTTCTGTGTTTTCTACTACTGTTTGGTATTACTTATAATTGCATTTTGTTTTTCCTGGATATGAAAAGCAGAGGAAAGTATATTATACCATATTTTTTCATTTTAATATTGTAACCTATAAGGCAGAATGACTGTGCTTAGTGTGTTTTTTTTCTCTTATATCTTAAGGAAGAGAGAGAAAATCCTTCAAAACGGAGTAGAATTGAACGTGATATAGATAACAATTTGATCACGTCAACACCAAGAGCAGGAGAAAAACCTAACAAACAGATATCTCGAGTAAGACGGAAAAGTCAAGTAAATGGAGGTTTGTTAATATTTAGATACTGTTTTATTTAGGTGTAAGCAGAGATCTCACCTGACACATTTCTTACCTATTTTTAAAAATCTACTTTGTGGCCGAGTGCAGTGGCTCATGCCTGTAATCCTCACATTTTGGGAGGCCGAGGTCGGCGGATCATTTGAGGCCAGGAATTTGAGACCAGCCTGGCCAACATGGCGAAACCCTGTCTCTATTAAAATCACACACAAAAAATTAGCCAGGCGTGGTGGCGCATGCCTGTAATCTCAGCTACTCAGGTGGCTGAAGGTTGAGAATCACTGGAACCTGGGAGGCGGAGGTTGCAGTAAGCCGAGATTGTGCCACTGCACTCCAGCCTGGGTGACAGAGTGAGACTCTGTCTCAAAACAAAACAAAACTACTTTGAGTAATTTTTGCCTTAACTTTGTAATCTTTGTATTATTAGTAACATGAAGTGAAATTAAAATGTGCTAATTTGAATCTTACTTTGAATTAAAGTAAGTAAAGGTAGAGTAACTATATACCTTTGTGCTGTTTAGCATAAAAATGTATGTGGGTCAATATTTTGGACATCTAATAAACTCATTTCTTAAAGCAATAATAATTGTGACTTAATTTAATTGAAATACGTACCAAATTTCTTCCTAGATTATTCTACTTAAAAGCTCAGAGGGGACTTGTATCACTTAGTCTCAACTAGGGGTGATTTTTTTCCTCCAAGGGACATTTGTCAATATCTAGAGACCTTTTTGGTTGTCACAACATGTGGAGGGGTGGCTACTAGGGTCTAGCAGGTGGATGTCAGAGATGTTAAACATCCTACAATACGCAGGACAGCTCTTCAAAACAAAGAATTATCAGACTGAAATGACAATAGTGCCACTGTTGATAAACTCTGTCAATACCTTGTTGTATAGCAGAGAAACTCCTCAAAGTCAAAAAGAAGGAGAAAAACATTAAGGAAAAGCAGAGACAGCTATACAGAATAACACTTCAGAGCAGCAGTCCCCAACCTCTTGGCACCAAGGACCAGTGTTGTGTAAGACAGTTTTTCCACTGACAGTGATGAGAATGGTTTCAGGATAAACTGTTCCATCTCAGATCATCAGACATTAGATTCTCATAAGGATCGCACAACCTAGATCCCTTGCATGTGCAGTTCACAATAGGGTTCATGTTCCTAAAAGGATCTAATGCAGCAGCTTATCTGCAGATAAGGTAGTAGAGGCAGAGCTCAGGTGTTAATGCTTGTGCACCTCCTAATAGGCTGCGGACTGGTACCAGCAAGTATGGGGTTAGGGACCCCTGCTTTAGAGTATGGAGTACTGTTTTAACCAATGCTATCTTAAACACAGCTGTAATTTCTCCCCTTGTCTCTGCCCAGTGCAATAATATATCTTTATTGTTAGAAAAAACAAACCAGGAGGGAGAAAAAGACTGAGACAAGACAAGGGGGACAAAATAGAGAAAGAAACAAGTTAGAAGAACCAAAGCAAAGAAGGAAATAAGTGTTGTAGACATCAAAAGTTGTGGAAAGTCAGAGGATGATTAATTAGAACAGTTGATTGATTTTACTTTTATATTTTTAAAAGATCTGTGGAACATTTTCATTTACAGGAAACTTAAAATTATTCTCCCTAGCCACTCTGAGATGGTGCCTCAGTATCCATAAGTAATTTTTGACACTGCTATATATAGCCTTCTGCTTCAGTAGAGTTATGTTGCCTCTATTCATTTAGCTGTCATTCATTAGATAGAAACAGATGTGAGGGAAGGTTTTATGAATTAGAACTATCCCAGAATGCAAACAAAAATAAAAGTATTTGTGTTTTAGATGGTGGGAGCTAATTTGCTTGCTTACAAAGAATTTTCTTCATTTTGTGTTATACTGTGTTGATTTGAAGCCTTTCAGTCTATAGGTGTAAATCTATTTTGAAAAAACTCAGTAAATGTTAGCATTATAAACACATTGATACATAAAGAGCATTTGACTTACAAGTAATTTACCTCAGTGTTTCTTTAATAAGCTCTCCTGAACATTAATTAGCTTTTGTGAAGTATTTTGAGGGAAAAAGTTATTTCTGTAATGAATGATTTATAACACATTTCTGAAAGTCAGTGTTTTCTAGATCATGACTCTTTTCTTATTTCTTTTTTAGAAGCTGGTAGTTATGAAATGACAAATCAACATGTAAAACAAAATGGAAAATTAGAAGATAATCCTTCCTCTGGCAGTCCTCCAAGGACTACTTTGTTGGGGACCATATTTTCACCTGTCTTCAACTTTTTTTCACCAGCAAATAAAAATGGTAAGTATAAATCGTTAACTGTGATTTGGGTGTTTTTTAAAAATGCATAGTTTTTTTGTTTTTTTGAGACGAAGTCTCGCTTTGTTGCCCAAGCCGGGGTGCAGTGACGTGATCTCCGCTCACTGCAACCTCCGCCTCCCAGGTTCAAGCGATACTTCTTCCTCAGCCTTACAAGTAGCTGGGACTGTAGGTGCCTGCCACCACGCCCAGCTAATTTTTTTTTGTATTTTTGGTAGAGATGGGGTTTCACCATGTTGACCAGGCTGGTCTCAAACTCCTGACCTTCAGGTGATCTCCCCACCTCAGACTCCCAAAGTGCTGGGATTACAGATGAGAGCCATCGTGCCCAGCAAAAAAATACATAGTTTTTAAAAAGCTCTTTTTGATTTTATTAGCATATTTTGTCAACGTCTCATGTTTGTTTTCCACCTCATTAATAATATACAGCTCCTTGGGAGCTGGGTGTGGTTTCTGATGCCTATAATCTGAACTCTTTGGGAGGCTGAGACAGGAGAATTGCTCAAGGGCAGGAGTTTGAGACTAGCCTGGGCAACATAGTGAGACCCTGTCTCTACAAAAAAATGTAAAAATTATTCGGGCATGTTAATGCATGCCTGTAGTCCTAGCTACTCCAGAGACTGAGGTGGGAGGAATGCTTCAACCCAGCAGTTTGAACCCAGGAGTTTGAGGCTACAGTGAGCTATGATTGCAACACTGCACTCATGCTTGGACAGCTGAGTGGGACCCTGTCTCTTAAAAAAGTAAAAGACTGGATTGGCCTTGTCTTCTGGGTTGTGAGGGTAGTGGCTCACAAAAGGCTTGAAAGAAAAGCTGAATCTGGAAAAGTGGCAAAAGGCATTCCAGGTAGAAGGAGCAGCATGAGTAGAGGCCTTGCAGCAGAAAACAGCACAGTGTGTTTGAGAGCTGTTTGTAGTCTGTAATTAATGGAGCACTGGATTTGAGAAGGGATACAGTAAGAGAGCTATGAGGAAGTCATATTACAGAGCTAACATATAAGATGATGAACTTTATTCAAGTGTGGGATAATTGAAAGTTGTTGGGTTTTTTTCCCCCAAAGTGAAAGCAAGTTTATTAAGAAAGTAAAGGAATAGGCCAGGCACGGTGGCTCACACCTGTAATCCCAGCACTTTGGGAGGCCAAGGCAGACAGATCATGAGGTCAGGAGTTTAAGACCAGCCTGACCAACATGGTGAAACCCGGCTCTACTAAAGAAAAATACAAAACTTAGCTGGGTGTGGTGGCATGCGCCTGTCATACCAGCTGCTCTAGGCAGGAGAATCCCTTGAACCCGGGAGGTGGAGGTTGCAGTGAGCTGAGATCGCGCCAGTGCACTCCAGCCTGGGTGACAGAGCAAAACACTGTCTCAAAAAAAAAAAAGAAAAAGAAAGAAAAGGAATAAAGAATGGCTACTCCATAGGCAGAGCAGCCTTTTAAATTGGTGAATAATATGATCAGATCTATGTTTTATAAAGATCACTTGGGCAATAGTGTGTACGCTAGATTCTGAAGAGGCCATAGGCAGGTAGAACAATTAGTAGACTTGTAGTCGTTCCTGTGAGACTTGATGAGACCTTACTTGTATTAGAGAAGACAGGAAGGATCAGAGAATAGAAAATGGACACATTTGTGATGCAGATTGGAAGTGAAAGAGAATAGAGATGAAGATGACACAAGAGTAGAAGATTCAAGGAAAATAAAGTTACTGGGAGATAGATAATTGAATGTTATTTGGGCCATGCTGAGTTTGAAATGCCATGAAATAGTTAAATAAAAATATTCAGGCCGGGCGCGGTGGCTCAACACCTGTAATCCAAGCACTTTGGGAGGCCAAGGCGGGCGGATCACTGAGGTCAGGAGTTCAAGACCAGCCTGACCAACATGGAGAAACCCTGTCTCTACTAAAAATACAAAAAAAATTAACCGGGCATGGTGGCACTTGCCCAGCTATAATCCCAGCTACTGGAGAAGCTGAGGCAGGATAATTGCTTGAACCCGGGAGGCCGAGGTTGCAGTAAGCTGAGATCGCACCATTGCACTCCAGCCTGGGCAACAAGAGTGAAACTCCATCTCAAAAAAAAAAAAAAAAAAAAAAACCAGTAGTAATATTTTCCCCTCATGCTGAAGTAAAGAATCTCTGAAGGTGGGTACATCTCTGAAGGTCTGTACAGAAATAGATGTCTGGGGAAGAAGGAGTTGAAGTTTGATAGAGTTTTTTCTTGGAAGGAAGAGATGGTGTCATTAATGAGATAGTTCTAGTGGAAGGGACTTGGGAAGAATAGTGAAGGTTTACAGTGATATTTTCTTTCTCTCTCTCTCCCCCCAACCCCGCCCCCTTCCCTCTCTCCCCACCTCTCTCCCCCACCCCTCTCTTTCCCCCCTTCCCCTTCTCTCTCTCTGCCTCCCTCCCCCACCACCACCTCTCCCTATCTCTGTGTCTCTGTTTTATTTGGATTATGACCAGTCTTTGTAATTGTATTTTTTGTTCCATAGCTTGGGACTAGGGTCTGAGAAGTCTGTTGGTTACATTGATTCAAGAGGGATTTCTTGATGGATGACAGTGGTGGAATGAGGGATCAAGGATACTGAGGCTGCCAGTTTGACAGTGCGTTTAAGTGATACACCATGAAGTCTAACTAGATGAGGAGGGCTGAGAAGAAGTGTTTGAGGGATGTGTTTGGAATTAGACTGGCCTTTATCAAGTTCGAAGATCACATATAATGGGAGTATGAGATATATAACTTGAGGGTTAGGAGGTTGTGGTAAGTGGTTAACACAGTATTAGAATTTTAGGCTTCAGAGGTGAAGTTTCTCAGTGTTAATGTCCAGGTTATAGCCATGGTAGTAACTGATATAGAACAGTATGAGTGAAGATAGTTGGAGCTGAAGAGGAAAAGAACTTTGAAGATTAGTCATTGGATGAGTCATTGACATCATCTGTAATAACAACTAGAAAAAATACTGTGTTAAATAGAGCAGTAAACTACTAGCTATGTATTTGTGATTGAGAGGATTCTGGCAGTAGATGGTAAGTGCCAGCAGTGAGGATAAGTGAAGAATTATATAGCCATGTGACATCAGTCTCAAAAGAGCAGACATTTTTTGCACATTAGTGGAAAACCAGTGATTGGATAGTAGCAATGGAGGTAAATGAATTCTGATTCAATTCATATATTGGGTATGGGAGAATAAAGAACATTGAGGGAAGGGTATCAGGAAAACCTTTTAGGAAAGAGGTTAAACTTAAAGCAACAAGGTGAGAAGGAGTGTTCTGTAAGGAAGTTGAGAATATTGGAGATTAATTTTTTTTGTTATTTTTGTTTAAAGTGACATTTGGACGATTCTAGAAGGAAATGGAAAGACTTGGGATTATTATTATTTTTTTTTTTAATTGAGACAGGGTCTTGCTCTGTCACCCAGGCTGGAGTGCAGTGGTACGATCACAGTTCACTGCAGCCTTGACCTCCTTCTGGGCCCAAACGATCCTCTCACTTCAGCCTCCTGAGTAACTGCTATCACAGATGTGCACCACCACACCCAGCTAGTTTTTATATTCTTTGTAGAGACAGCCATGTTGCCCAGGCTGGTTTCGAACTCCTGAGCTCAAGCAATCTGCTTGCCGCAGCCTCCCAAAGTGCTGGGATTACAGGTGTGAGTCATCATACCTTGCCCAGTCTTTGTTATTGAGATGGAGGTTTGGCTGAGAAATTATTCTTCTATCTTTTAATTAAAAGGTTCTCATGATTAGGGGAACAGTTAGCTAATTTTTTGATACCTCTGGTTGAAAAATTACAATTGCACACATGACTAGGATGCAAAAACTTTGCTCACAAATGTTACTCTAGCCTGTAAGTCTTTGTTCTTCAGTGTTTGAAATAGCTAGCAAAGATTCTCTAAAAAACAAAATCCTCGGCTTTGTTCCTGCAGGAATGATCAGTCTAAGTAAATATATTGTACATTGATGTTGCGTTTAGTTTTTCTAAATAGTTGCGTTTTTAAATGGTGATAGTACACTGAATCATGATTTCAGGAACATCAGGATCAGATTCTCCAGGACAGGCTGTGGAAGCTGAAGAAATAGTAAAACAACTTGATATGGAACAGGTGGATGAGATCACTACCAGTACTACTACATCAACTAATGGAGCAGCTTACTCAAATCAAGCAGTTCAAGTGAGACCATCAATAAACAATGGTTTAGAAGAAGCAGAAGAAACAGTTAATCGTGATATCCCACCCCTTACAGGTGAAGAAAATTTCTTTTCTTATACATCTTCATGAGTAGTTGATAAAAAATATAGTATTTCAAATTTTTTCTTAAATGAGCAGATTATATGCATAGATTTTTCTTCCTGGAAGTTCAGAAAAAATTAAAATTGGAAACAAAACTTTGTCCCAAAAATCCAAAGTCATTTTGGAATTGAAAATTTTTTAAAGATTTTGACTAGGTATTAGTCATTTTACAGTTTAATTATTACCACTAATCTTACTGCTTGGAGAAATTTAATACAACTAACAAAATATATGCTCATGGCCGGGCGCGGTGGCTCAAGCCTGTAATCCCAGCACTTTGGGAGGCCGAGACGGGCGGATCATGAGGTCAGGAGATCGAGACCATCCTGGCTAACCCGGTGAAACCCTGTCTCTACTAAAAAAATACAAAAAACTAGCCGGGCAAGGTGGCGGGTGCCTGTAGTCCCAGCTACTCGGGAGGCTGAGGCAGGAGAATGGCATAAACCTGGGAGGCGGAGCTTGCAGTGAGCTGAGATCCGGCCACTGCACTCCAGTCTGGGCGACAGAGCCAGACTCCGTCTCAAAAAAAAAAAAAAGTATATATATGTGTGTGTGTGTATATGTATATGTGCTCATGTTTATGAACATCGTTATTATTATTGCACAAGTCTTAGACCCTTATGTCTGAGGTCACTACCTAGGGGCAGTCTCATACCTTCAGATTTGTTTGATTACGTCGAGGACATCCCCCCAGAAAGTGCTTCTGTTCCTAGATCTCCCCATATACCTAACTTTGCAGCCTGACTTGGAACCTTATAAAGGCCAAACATAATTATTGGGTTTCGGAGCCAGTTGTCCCTGAAATGTGGAAACACATGGATCAGGAATTTATTACCTCTGAGTACTGTGGTGGATAGACAAGGTACAAGATGGAATTGTGTTCCACCATTCTTAAAAGCAGAAATAAAACTGAAGAAGGCTATCTTCTTATTAGGGCATGGAGATTTTATCTTAAATTTGTTTTGTTTGTTTGTTTGTTGTTGTTTATTGTAGTACCAGGTATTTGAGAGAGCCCAGTAAATATATATTAGTTAAGAAACATAGTTTGGGGCCAGGCATGATGACTCAGGCCTGTAACCCAGCACTTCAGGAGGCCAAGGTAGGAGGATTGCTTGAGGTCAAGAGTTTGAGACCAGCCTGGGCAGAAGAGCCAGATGCTGTCTGGGGTGGAGTCTCACTCTGTTGCCCAGGCTGGACAGTGCAGTGGCATGATCTCGGCTCACTGTAACCTCGGCCTCCTGGTTGAAGCAATTTGCCTGTCTCAGCCTCCTGAGTAGCTGGGAATACAGGCATGTGCCACCACGCCCAGCTAATTTTTTTTTTTAACTTTTAGTAGAGACGGGGTTTCATCATGTTGACCAGGGGGTCTCGAACTCCTGACTTCAAATGATCTGCCCACCTCGGCCTTCCAAAGTACTGGGGTTACAAGTGTGAGCCACTGTGCCTGGCAAAAAAAAAAAAAAAAATTTTTTTAATTAGCTGGGGATGGTGGCGTGTGCCTGTAGTCTTAGTGACTCTGGAGGCTGAAGTGGAAGGATTGCTTGAGCCCAGGAGTTCCAGACTGCTGTGAGCTATGATTGAGCCACTGCAATCCAGCCTAGGCAGCAGAGCAAGATCCAGTCTTGAGAAAGAAAAAAGAAAAAAAGAAGCATAGTTTGGTTTAAGGAAATAGAATATACAGATGGTTCCTGAGTTACAGTGGTTCAGCTTCCAATTCTTTTACTTTACAATGGGTTTATCAGGGTGTTAAATGCATTTTGACCTATGATGTTTGTGACTTATGATGGGATTATTGGGATGTAGCCCCAACATAAGTCTAGGAGCATCTGTACTTCTCTCAGCTATGAAAAGGAAACTTTTAAAAAAGTAATTGACACAGCAGAAAACATTTAAAGAAAATATGATACAATTATGAAATTTCTATATAATGCAATCCAGTAATACCAACATGAAGAGACAAGCAGCAAAATAGGAAAGGTTTATTTTAAAGTCATCAAATAAAAGATTTATATGTATAATGTTAAATTTAGAATTTAAAAATAATACAGAATCTAACAAGCAAATCAATACAATTACATTCATTCTTTTGTGGGTACTATTTGCAATTTAACCCACCTTTAACCCATCATTTTATGCTTATTACTTTACCCAGTGGTATAAGACTAATGAAGTAAAGTATAGACTAAAGTTCAGGGCTTTGGCTTCCTGTTTGATGTTTGTTCTGTATTTTCATGCTGCTGTATAAGCCTTTGTATTTCTTTTTTCTGACAACTATGAGGATGGAGAAAGGATTTCTGTAACCTTAGTGGTTTCTAGAAGGGAAAATTAATATATACTGTAGTTGTCACAGTCATTCATTTATTCCCCCAACATTTATGAGCGCCTATTTTTTTGTGATGGGAACTGTTGATGAATTGACTCCTGAGGAGTTTGTGATCTAATTGAAAAGCCAAATATAGAGAAACATCACTATACAGTATGGTGAATGCTGCTACAAAGAAGTGAGCTAAATGACATGGTATGTCACATTGCAGTTACTCTGATTGGGATGATCATGAGAATATAGATAGAGGCATTTAGTATGAGTGACAAAGTATTCGTTTCCTTAACTTTAAGAACATAGCCAAAGAGAACAAGAAGGTAGGAAGCTGGCAGCTGTGTTACTTTGGACAACTTATTTAAGCTCTTGAGATAGTTTCAAAAACAGTTTTCTTAGCTTTAACATGGTTTTTGTAATACAAAGTTTTGCAGGCTAAATGAGATAAAGTATGCAAAATGCTTAGCATATAAACACCTAACAAATATCCTTGGCTGGGTGTCATGGCTCATGCCTATAATCACAGCACTTTGGGAGGCCGAGGTGGGCAGATCACTTGAGCACAGGAGTTCGAGACTAGCGTGGGCAATATGGCAAAACCCTGTCTCTACAAAAACAAACAAACAAAAAATTAGCTGGGCTTCATGGCTCGCACACCTATAGTCCCAGCTACTTGAAGGACTGAGGTGGGAGGATTGCTTGAGCCTGTGAGGTCAAGGCTGCAGTGAGCTGTGTTCATGCCACTGCACTCCAGCCTAGGCAACAAAGTGAGACCTGTCTCAAAAAATAATAGTAAAACAAATAAAAATACTCTTTCATTCATCTGAGATTAATAGGAACTTGAAACAGTAAAGTTGTTGGAAGATATATTTTCTTGTGCTAATGAATTATTGGAAGCATAATGTCAGAGATGAACAAAAATTCTGCTTTACATCTGATGTCATCCATTGAACATACACACCACGTTGACTCTGTCTCAAAAGATGTTAACACATGATAATTGCACAAAAGATTAATTTTTGTCTTGAAAGACTTACCATTTCATTTCTATAGAAAGATTATAGAAATTTGTATTGGGTTCCACTTTAAATTTTTATATCTGAGACATTACCTATTTGGCTTATAAGTTACTTTGTCTTCTTATATTTAAGTTATAGTTATTGTCTTGGAAAATTCCCAGCATGATTTTTTTTTTTTTTTTTTGAGACAGAGTCTTACCCTGTCGCCCAGGCTGGAGTGTAGTGGAGCAGTCTTGGCTGACTCCAAGCTCCGCCTCCCGGGGTCACGCCATTCTCTTGCCTCAGCCTCCCGAGTAGCTGGGATTACAGGCGCCCGACACCACACCTGGCTAATTTTTTGTGTTTTTAGTAGAGACAGGATTTCACTGTGTTAGCCAGGATGGTCTCAACCTCCCGACCTCGTGATCTGCCCACCTTGGCCTCCCAAAGTGCTGGGATTACAGGCGTGAGCCACCGCGCCCAACCAGAAAATTCCCAGCATAATTTCTAAAGCTCTGTCAAAAGATAAGCTCTTAGCTCAAACTGGGAATGAACAATGGCATGCAATATAGAATTACTTCTTGATCATTTTAAGTTGTTTATAAATTAGAAGTAAAATAATAAGTCTCCTAAGGAGTGATTTTGATCAGGTATGGTGGCTCACCAGCACTTTAGGAGGCCGAGGAAGGAGGATCTCTTGAGCCCAGGAGTTCAAGACCAGCCTGGGCAGCATAATGAGACACTTTCTTGTCTCCACAAAAAATTTTTAAAATTATCCAGGTGTGGTGGTACACCTGTAGTCCCACCTATATGGGAGGCTGAGGCAGGAGGATCGCTGGATCCCACGTCAAGGCCACAGTGTTTGCTCCACTGCACTCCAGCCTGGGCATTAGAGCAGGACGCTGTCTCAAAAAAAGGATTAAAAGAACGATTTCTCGCTGGCGGAGCCCAGATCGTGCCACTAGACTCCACCTCAAAACAAAAAACGAGAAAATAACAAAATGTCTGTATAAAGTAGCATTTCTTAATTAAATATATATATATATATATTTTTTTTTTTTTTTTTTTTTTTGAGATAGAGTTTTGCTCTTGTTGCCCAGGCTACAGTGCAATGACACAATCTCAGCTCACTGCAACCTCCGCCTCCCAGGTGCAAGCGATTCTCCTGCATCAGCCTCCTGAATAGCTGGGATTACAGGCATGCGCCACCACACTCAGCTAATTTTGTATTTTTATAGAGATGGAGTTTCTCCATGTTTGTCAAGCTGATCTCGAACTCCTGACCTCAGGTGATGCACCTGCCTTGGCCTCCCAAAGTGCTGGGATTACAGGCACCCGCCACCACACCTGGCCACATTCCTTAATTTTTTAAGATCATAGTCTTGGCTGGGTGCAGTGGCTCACGCATCTAATCCCAGCACTTTGGGAGGCCGAGGCGGGCAGATCATGAGGTGGGTGGATTATGAGGTCAGGAGATCCAGACCGTCTTGGCTAACATGGTGAAACCCCGTCTCTACTAAAAATACAAAAAATTAGCTGGGTGTGGTGGCATGTGCCTGTGGTCCCAGCTACTCGGGAGGTGGGGCTTGCAGTGAGCAGAGATCAGGCCACTGCACTCCAGCCTAGGAGGCAGAGCGAGACTCCGTCTCAAGAAAAAAAAAAAAAAAGATCATAGTCTTGAGATTCCTGGGAACATACAATTTTTTTAAATAAGTCTTCAGAGGGTTCATGAACTTTTTAAAGACTGTTCACAGGCCGGATGCGGTGGCTCACGCCTATAATTCCAACACTTTGGGAGATCGAGTTGCACGGATCACCTGAGGTTGGGTGTTTGAGACCAGCCTGACCAACATGGAGAAACCCTGTCTCTACTAAAATCAGCCAGGCGTGGTGGCACGCGTCTGTAATCCCAGCTGTTCACGAGGCTGAGGCAGGAGAATCGCTTGAACCCGTGGGGTGGAGGTTGCAGTGAGTTGAGGTTGTGCCATTGCACTCTAGCCTGGGCGACAGATCGAAACTCCATCTCAAAAATAAAAGCTACATTTGGGTCTGTTCTCAGCGTACATTTACTGACTGTGTGTATGTACAAGGCATTTTATTCACTATTACCCCTATAAGAGCACCATGAAATTTTTTGGTGATTACATGTAAACACCATGGATTTTTTGGTGTACATTTTTGTAGTAATAAGTAGTAGATTTTTTCTTAGCTGATAAACATCTTAATTCTAGCCATGATCTGGTTTTCCTTTTTTTCTATAGTGGTCATTTTCCCCTTTAGATCTAAAGTTAGATCTATATGTTAATAAGTTGACTTTTAGGTGTTGTGTACAAATTATTTCTGTCTTTAAATACACAAGGCTTTAGGAAGATCTTACATAGAAGCAGTAAAAATGTATATTTCATGAAGCATTAAGTAAAAGCAACATTTTGTCTTTCACTGTGTTAAATAGCACCAGTAACTCCAGATAGTGGTTACTCATCAGCCCATGCGGAGGCCACCTATGAAGAAGACTGGGAAGTATTTGACCCGTGAGTTGCTTTTTTCTCTTTCTTTCCTTTTTGGAGCATGGTGAAAGTAGGTTATGTATGTGGATTGGTGGCTAAATAGTATATTGCCAAGATATGTGACCTGTAGGTATTGAAACTTTTACTGGGGCTGGGTGCAGTGGCTCATCCCAGCACTTTGAGAGGCCTAGGCAGGCAGATTGTTTGAGCCCTGGAGTTCAAGACCAGCCTGGGCAACATGGCAAAACCTCGTCTGTATAAAAAAATACAAAAACTGGCGGTACACGGTGGCATACACCTGTAGTCCCAGCTATTAGGGAGGGTGAGGTGGGAGGATCACTTGAGCCCAGGAGACAGAGGTTACAGTGACCTGTGATAGAGTGAGATTGTCTCAAAAACAAACAAACAAAAACAGCTGTTACTGATTTACAGATAAACTAATTTGTATATTTTCACTTTTATTAACATCTTTTCTAAGTTTCGTTTTCTGGGTTAACTGCTTTATAGATTTTTAAATGGGCTGAACTTAGTAATGTTTTATATTTATAAATAGTAAAATGTTGAAATTTTCTTAAAATCTGATTTATAGCTATTATTTCATCAAACATGTCCCGCCACTGACAGAAGAACAACTAAATAGGAAACCTGCTCTTCCATTGAAAACAAGAAGCACACCGGAATTCTCCCTAGTTTTAGACTTGGTAAGTATATTATCTGTAGAAGTAGAGAGAATAAAGGGGTGAAATTATTTTTTAGAATCATACCTATGTTAGCTTTCCCCTTCTTTTGTCGGGATCATGTTTTCCTGAAGGACCAAATATAATTTGGGTCAACTGAATTAACCATATGCAAGACCATAAGCCTTTTCGTATTCTTATTTTTGCATATATGTTATACCAATGCACTTTTTATTAATAGTCTCAAAAGCACAGTTTCTTTTTTTTTTTTTTGAGATGGAGTCTCGCTCTGTCGCCCAGGCTGGAGTGCAGTGATGTGATCTCGGCTCACTGCAAGCTCCGCCTCCCGGGTTCACGCCATTCTCCTGCCTCAGCCTCCCGAGTAGCTGGGACTACAGGTGCCTGCCACCACTCCTGGCTAATTTTTTGTTATTTTTAGTAGAGACAGGGTTTCACTGTGTTAGCCAGGATGGTCTCAACCTCCTGACCTCATGATCCACCCGCCTCGGCCTCCTAAAATGTTGGGATTACAGGTGTGAGCCACCATGCGTGGCCCCAATATGATGTCTTGATGTGATTTGAAAATTTGTGCCGGGCGCGGTATGAGAGAATGGCGTGAACCCAGGAGGCGGAGCTTGCAGTGAGCCGAGATCACGCCACTGCACTCCAGCCTGGGAGACACAGTGAGACTCCGTCTCAAAAAAAAAAAAAGAAAATTTGTATTTTAGGGGCTGGGCGCAGTAGCTCATGCCTGTAATCCTAGAACTTTGGGAGTCCGATCTTTGGGCAGAAAGCCAGGAGTTTGAGACCAGCCTGACCAACATGGTGAAACCCATTCTTTACTAAGAATTCAAAAATTAGCTGGGTGTGGTAATATACGCTTGTAATCCGAGCTACTCACGAGGCTGAGGCACAAGAATCACTAGAACCCAGGAGGCGGAGGTTGCAGTGAGCTGAGATCATGTCACTACATTCCAGCCTGGGCAACAGAGCAAGATTCTGTCTCGGGGAAAAAAAGAAAAAAAGATATTTTAGGGTACCAGAAAAGCTTTGAAAACGATTATCTCCTATCGTTTGCTAATGAAATTTAATATATAGTCACATTTCTCCTCTGCATCTGATTTCTTATTAATTTTGCATTTTAAAAATCTGTTTACTTTTTTTTTTTTCTTTTTGAGACGGAGTCTTGCTCTGTAGCCCAGGCTGGAGTGCAGTGGCACAATCTCAGCTCACTGCAACCTCCACCTCCCGGGTTCACGCCATTCTCCTGCCTCAGTCTCCCGAGTAGCTGTGACTACAGGCGCCCGCCACCACACCCAGCTAATTTTTTGTATTTTTAGTAGAGACGGGGTTTCACCGTGTCAGCCAGGATGGACTCAACCTCCTGACCTCGTGATCCACCCTCCTCAGCCTCCCAAAGTGTTGGGATTACAGGCGTGAGCCACCGCGCCTGGCCATCTGTTTACTTTTTTTAAGGCTGGTAAAATGAAGTAGTGGGATTGGGGAAAGAACTAATTTCTTGATATTAGTAAAAAATGTATCTCATATCATATTGGAAAATATTTTATTATTAAGCATTTGTTACTGGTACCCTATAATTGGAGATGTGGTTTAGTTCTCATAGAAGATTTATTTTAGCCAGGCACAGTGGCTCATGCCTGTAATTCCAGCACTTTGGGAGGCTCTATTCAGCCCAGGAATTTGAGACCAGCCTAGACAACATAGTGAGACCCACGTCTCTACAAGAAATGAATGAACCTGATGGTGAAAGCCTGTAGTCCCAGCTACTCAGGAGACTGAGACAGGAGGATCCCTTGAGGCCGGGAGTTTGAGGCAGCAGTGAGCTACAATTGTGCCACTGCATTGCAGCCTGGGCAACAAAGTGAGATCTCATTTCAATTTTAAAAGGAAAGAAAGAAAATTTATCTAGGTCAGGCACAGTGGCTCACGCTTGTAATCCCAGCACTTTGGGAGGCCAAGTCGGGCAGATACTTGAGTCCAGGAGTTTGAGACCAGCCTGGCCAATATAGTGAAACCCTGTCTCCACTAAAAATACAAAAATTAGCCGGGCGTGGTGGTATGTGCCTCTAATCTAACCTACTTGGGAGGCTGAGGCGGGAGAATAGCTTAATCCGGGGAGGTGGAGGTTGCAGTGAGCCCAGATCGTCTGGTGTTTAGTGAAATTGTATGAAACACAATTTATGAGATACTAAAACATCTACTTAAAGTAAGATGCTTTATAAAAAGTTGGAGGATGAGGAGTTACATGAACAGAATATATATTTTTAATAATTAGATTCTACACTTACATTTGCTAATTGTAAACAAGTAACATGCATGTGGGTTTAACTGAAAGTTGGTTTGGCAACTACAGAACTCAGAGCCTTGCTTCTCAAACTTGAGCATGTGTCAAAATCATCTGAAGGGCTTCTAAAAACAGACATTGTTGCCAGGCACCGTGGCTCACTCCTGTAATCCCAGCACTTTGGGAGGCCGAGGAATGTTCCTGAGGTCAGGAGTTTGAGACCAGCCTGACCAACGTGGTGAAACCCTGTCTCTACTACAAATACAAGAGTTAGCCAGGCATGATTCCTGGCACCTGTAATTCCTGCTACTCAGGAGGCTGAGGCAGGAGAATCGTTTGAACCCAGTAGGAGGACGTTACAGTGAGCTGAGATAGCTCCCCTGCACTCTAGTCTGGGCAACAGAGGGAGACTCTGTCTCAAAAAGAAAAACAAAACAAAACAGAGATTGCTGAGACCCGTCCCGTCCCCTGAGTTTCTGATCATCAGAAGTGAGGTTAACATTTGCGTTTCTAACTAGTTCTCAGATGATGTTTATTCTGCTTGCTGGCCCAGGAGCTACACCTGAGAACTAGTGACTTTACAAACTCTTATCCCAAATTGCTATGCCATATATAGTAATATATTATAAATGTAAAATTCCACATATGAGTGGGCGCTTTAGGTTTTTGGTGATTAAGAATACGTAAAATTATCCTTTGAAGTTTCTTTTACTATCTTGTTTCATTCAATATGTGTTTTTTATTTTAAGGATGAAACACTAGTGCACTGTAGTCTAAATGAGCTAGAAGATGCAGCACTTACTTTTCCAGTCCTTTTCCAAGATGTCATTTATCAGGTAATTAAAATTTTTTTGATGATTTTTGGCCTGATAACATTCTGATAAAAAAAATCTTTTGTATTTTTTTGTGTATGTGACATTAAATGTGTTTTCCTGTAGCTGTATAATGGATTTCATCAACATTTTAATGATTTATTAACAAAATTAGCATCATGCTAGATATTACATAAAACAACATTAATTTGTTACTCAAAAAATGCTAACTTTCTTACCTTGAGATCTCAGCTAGTTTTGTAATGTGTTTGCCAGCAGGTGGAGGCAGGAGCACTGACATCATAGATCCTCAAGAGGAACTTGCCAGGTTAACTCCTGGTGTTTTTGTTTTTGTTTTCCAAAAATCCAATTAATACAAAGAAAACTCATTCCTTGTTGATCATTTTATTTCCTGTAGTAGTAATGTGGTCTGTGAAAATTACACTTTAGTACATCTCTTTTATAATTAATCTCAGAATTCCAGGACACTCTTCTAGTTATTGTTTTACTTAAGGCCTTTCAGTTTAAGCATTTCTGTCTCATCTGTGCTGATGGACAGGTAACAGTGCAAAATACAAATATCATTCACATTTCACTGTGGATTATGTGTGCTGGCCATAGTTTTTACTTTAAGGTTTTCCCATTATTATAAGATTGAGTTAATAATATAAGTGAATACACTTTGAAAATTGCAAAGTGCCTTTTTGTTTTGGAGGTTGTTATTTAACTAGCATTATTGGCATTATATAATAGTTGTTGAAAGATTGGGGATTGAAGTTTGTTGTCTGTCAAGAGGGAGCCAGCCTAAAGATTAACTTAGTAGAGTCACAGAGCATTTGCCATGTGGATGATGAAAAGGTGTTTAGTTGTTTATGTGCTCTTAAAGGCAGTTAGAATGTGGTTATAGTTTTCTTGGCAGATAATAGTTTATGTCTCACAGAAACCATGAAATTTAAGAGTTAAATAGAAGTTTGTGGTTCATGGCTACTTTAACCTACTTTGTCTAGTAATGAGTTGTAAGAGAATTTATTTTAGTTGTCAGTTCTAGTTTTAACCTAGGGTAGGTATTGTAGCTATGGCAATAAATATTTGAATACTGAATTCACTTTTTATGTAAGCTGATTTTAGTCCTGATATATAATCAGAGGGTAAGCAAAATATACATAAAATTAAAAGATTTAAAGATTTTTCTGTTCCCTTTCAAAACTGATTATTGTTTGGTTTAAGACAAGTATTTTTCTTAAGACATTTTATATCAAATTGGTTGTTCTTGTTTAGTGGACTTTAAGGACAGGAGTCCTTGTGGCAGATGTAACTAGTGTAGTGATATCTTAGTTTTCTCTTTTAAGCTTGATAACCTTGTTGGGGTTTTTCTTTGTTTTTTGCTTTTGGGTTTTTTTTCATGATTGCATTTGAAAAAAAATGGCTTTAAGGCTTTGAATTTGGAAAGGAAAGCTATTAATTGAAAAATATAGATAATGATTTTGAGATGACTTCTTAAGCTTCTAGGTTTGAAATTGAAATTTCTTACAGATGGTTTTTGGTCGTTTATGTAATTTTTAGTAGTGAAATAAGAAACTTAAGTAGGTAAATTTGATTCTTCCCTTTTATATGAGCATTTTTCTTCAGTATGATCATAAAATTGATTTTTTTCTTACTGCTTCAACCATTTCTGCTTTAACTCTCTTTTTAAAGTTCTTATTGTTTCATGTGGATCTGGATAGTTGTCTTATTTCGAATTAAAAGCTTCTAGCAGCATATATGACTAATTCAAAAACTATATATGTACTGCATCTACCTCTGTGGAATTCAAAGAACTCTTTTTCTTATATATTCTGAATTACACTTGCTGAAACTGAAAAATAAATGATTTAGCCTAAATGAGAGCACAGAGCAGGTAGTTTGAACCTTATAAGCTATAGAGATGATTGCATTTTAATACGATTTAGTTACCGTATCACAGACAGAGTTTAGTTACTTTTCAGTAAATTTTTTAGGATATCCGTAGTTAATATTGCGTACATTCCCTTGGATTTCTTGTTTTGGCATAGCCATTCCGTCTTTAAAAAAAATAAATGAAGAAATCTTTGGGTTAGGGTTCCCCCAGTTTTCAGACCAGCAAGCTCCCTTTAAACAGGGAATGATGTCTTTTAAACTTTCAGTGGTGTTGTCTCCATCTACTGGCAAAGAAGAAATATACACAAGGGTCTGAGATGATCTAAGAGATTTTGGAGAAACCACATTATTAGGTAAGATGTAACTTAAATATTTAACCACTATACTATGATGTGGCCCACTTAAAGGTAGAAATCTGTAAAGTACTGCATATACTCTTTATTTTTTAAAAAAATGTATTGAGGTGAAATTTACATGACAAAATTAGCCATTTTTAAATGAACAGTTCCATAGTGTGTATCTGTATATTCTTGAATGTTAGTTTTATAGCATTTACATATATATGTATATATATTCTATATGTAAAGATCAGATTATTCATCTGAAAGCCAGATGGAGTGTCCTCTTAGGACTTACTTTACGTTTTCTTTCTGTGGTAAATTTGTTATGTTTGACCTATAACTAATTTTAATTCTACATGTTATTTCTGTTTCATTTCAAAATAATTTAAAGTAATTGTATTATATGTTTTAATAATTGTCTATATCAGGGGTTGGCAACCTTTTTCTATACAGTAAATATTTTAGGTTTTGTGGTCCCTGTCATGACTGCTTTTTCTGCTATTGCAGCATGAAAGTAGCCATGGACAATACATAAATGAAAAAGCATGGCTGTGTCCCAGTACAACTTTGTGTACAAAAATCAGTGGCAGGCTGCATTTGGCCAACTGGCCATAGGTTTGCTGATTCCTGGTCTAATAATTATGAGAGTATATACAGTAAATTTACATATTCAAATTGTAAGTAATCAAATGTTCATCAAAATTCTTATAAATGTATGTAGAAAATTTAAATTAGATCCACAGTAATCTGGTTGTGGGTCTTTAAAGTTTTTTTAAAATCAAAGTTTGAGGGAAATTTGAGGTGGCCACTACTCACATTTAAAGATTGCCTGACTTAATGACACATACTCTTTTTCTGGTTGTTATGTAGGAATAAACTTGGTTAATGCAAGTCTTAGAATTTGTAAGCAGGTAGATTATTCTAAAGTAGTACCTTGAGGTGTAATTTGAATTTCATTTCTCTAGGGGATTTAAAAAACAAACCTGAAAGATCTATCTCAAATTAAAATTTGATGTATGTTACTACTGACACTATGTGGAGTAGACAGATTGTAGTTTCTATATGGAGAAAAAGTCATTTGAAAGGAGAACCTGCTTTTTAAACGTGAGGAAATGGCACTCATATAGGCAAAATTATAGGCTTTTTGTTTGAAGGGGTCTATTTTTCTTAACTTGGTTTTTTTTTTTTTTACATTGTTTTATAATCAGTTATTAAGAAAACATGTATTCATAAAATGGTACAAATGCATTTGATATCTGGAAAAACAAGTGCATGATCACTTTTATTGCACATATTTAATTTTTATATTTAGCCTATATTGGCACATTGTCAGGAAATCCATCTCGTGGTGTTACTCAGTTAAGAGGTCTCCACTGTATTTAGTTTCTGTTCCTGCAGATCCACCAATTCAAGACTCTAGGTCATCTCACTCCCTCTTCCATCCCGAAGATGACTTCTATCCACAAGCAGGACTGAATCAAAAGACATTTTTCACTTAGCTCTTGAGCTGAACCACCTCCTCAATGACCTTCCTCTGTCTCCATCAAGAACTGGAGCTCAGTTTTTTGAAGATGTAATAGAGCTACTCAGCCCAAGTGTGGCTGATTGAAGACAAAAAGAAGATACCTCATATGTTTCACCACAGTGCAGCCAAACGTAACTGTGTTGTCCAACTCCTCATTCTGTAAAGCTTGGCAGGGGCATCTGATTTTTGACTCTGTTCACCAATAAGACTTTAGCCAGTCAGTGGCTTTCTGAAGATCAGTAAAATCAACAAACTTTGGGTCAGCTGTCCAGAAATCAGATTGTGGTAAGCACTCAAGGACAGATAGGATCCCTGTAGGGAGCTACTTGTAAAAGATGCTTTGTTTTATTAGTAGAGGTTGCTTTTATGGGAAAAGTTGGGGGAAGAGGTGGATGGGGAAGGCCACGGTTAGCAAAGCTTACCCGCGTCCCCATTCTTTCAGTTTTCTTGGGAATCTTACAGCTTAGGATAATTTTCATACCACAGAACAAGAGAAGTAGGGCCAGGTGCAGTGGCTCACGCCTATAATCCCAGCACTTTGGGAGGTCGAGATGGGCAGATCACCTGAGGTCAGGAGTTCAGGATCAGCCTGGCCAATATGGCAAGACCCCATCTCCACAAAATAAAACAAAAATTAGCTGGGCGTGGTGGCGGGCGCCTATAATCCCAGCTACTAGGGAGACCGAGGCAGGAGAATCAATTGAAACCAGGAGGTGGAGGTTGCAGTGAGCCGAGACCACGCCACTGCACTCCAGCCTGGGTGACAAAGCGAGTCTCCATCTCGAAAAGAAAAGAAAGAACAAGAGAAGTAGAGGGTCAGTTGCTTCTGTCTCCTTTTTACAGTCTTTTCTAGAAAAGTGAGCTTTATTTTTGCTTCATGAAGGAAAGAAACCAGTCATTTAAATTTATAATTTTGTAGTAAATACCTAATTTTTTTCTCAAGTTCTGATTTAAATTGATACTAACCAGCATGCACTTTGTTCTTGAGATTCATAAACTATATTTTTGTTCTATAAAAGTAGCATGTATATTTGTGCCTTAAAAAAACAACATTTGAGGCCAGGGGCAGTGACTTGCTTATAATCCCTGCACTGGAAGGCTGAGGTGAGAGAAATGCTTGAGCCTGAGAGTTCGAGACTGGCCTGGGCAAGATAGTGTGAGATCCTGTCCCTACAAAAAATATCAAAAAATTAGCCGGGCATGGTGGGGGAGCGCCTATAGTCCCAGCTACTCGGTAGGCTGACGCAGGAGGATTGCTTGAG